GACTCCCTGGGGAACCTCCTTGAAGAGTATTTTTGGCTGGATTTATGAAATATTGGTCTAGAGTGCTTGAACATGAGTGTTTTTGCTTGGTCAGTATAACAGGGAAGAAAGGGCTTGGGCCTTCGTGTAATCTAATCCTTGCGTAGGAATCTCCAGGAGGGCTATATCAGAAGAACGAGAAGCCATCTTGGGCCAGAGGTCAAGCCCAGAGCTCAGCTGCTCTCCTGGTTTCCCTCCGAGAGCAAGGGGGTGCGGTTTTTGCAAGTGGCCAACGGGCTTAAAATAGTAAGGTTTGGGTTACATTCACAAAGAGTATTGGAGAAATGCCTGCAACCTAGTGTTTTTCCCGAGTGGTCCACCTACACGGCAGGAATGGCGGGAAAAGGAGAAGGTGTTCTCTAAGTCTGCTTACTTCCCCTCCCACTTTCCCTGAAACTTGGTGAAGGCTGAGGAACCTGGGTAAGCTGAGCTGGAAATGCATGGTAGGAATGGTGCTTCGATGCACGAAATGATGGTCCGTGTCCTGTTCCGATACGATCCCCTCCGGCTGTCCCACGGTCCTCCAATACTGGCGGCAGTTAACCGCGCTCTGCAGCACCGAGGCGCCCCATGGGGGCTTCGCTCGGCGCATGTCAGGCTGGTCGGAGCGGAGAGTGAAGGGAAAGGGCGAAGCGCAACCCACCGCAACCGATCCTCGGCGGCACGCGCTCCTCCGAATGGCGGCAAACGGCCGAAGGTGGTAGGAAAGAAGGCCTCCGGCTGGTATCCAAGGCAACCAGAGAACGCGAGAAGCCGCTCCGCTTCTGAGGGGGCAGCGCCGACGACGAACGAGGGCGCGGTGCTACTTTGCTCACTGACCGTCGCGTTTGACCCCCTCGCCTCATGCTGGGGCGCGACGTTTGAGGAAGCGCTGACTGGACGAGCTTTTATTACTAAATTATTTATGGGGTTTCTGACTGACGTGGGAAGCGTCGGAAGTTTTTCCGTACCCACCGTGCCGTGGGAATAGCTGAGAGAGCCCACACCGGCGCCAGTCCCGTTTACAGAAACAGGCAGCATCTCTCCCCAACAGGGGAGATGCATGTGGTGGGGTTTAAATAGATTAAAACACGATCTATAAATTAAAAGTAACAAGAAAACAAAGCTCTGTATACGTTCGTTTTTGTTTTTTGTTTTAAATCCCGTTACAATTTCCTAGGGTTGTTTTTTGGTAGTCTGTCAATTACTTTGAGATCTGTGCTCTTGAGTATACGTTAAATCTAAACATTACAGAAATATGCCATATTTGGGAAGAAAATAAACATTCCAATTCAGTTTTTCTTCCTTCTTAAACAAAACTGGGGCGGTGACTCATTTCTGTCTAAAGCATTTCACCTGCCATGAGGGGAAATGTTGCTGGGAGTCAGACAATAGTTATTACTATTACTATTAAATAGGTCAGAGTCTTTTATGTTTCATTTTCCTAGTAAAGTCACAAGAACAAATCATTTCTATATATCATTCCAATTTACCTGATGGCACTACATTGTAGTCAATGTTAAAAGCCATTGGCATTTTCATTATTTTCTGGGGTGGTTGTAGGGAGGGATAGTGTGGCAGTGACTTTTCCATAAAAATCTAATTAATGGAAAGCAGCTTGCCCAACAAAACTTCCCTAATCACCCTATGCTAGTTATTCTTCAAGTCATCTGCAACAAATTAGGGGCACTTTATTTCTGCTATAACCAGGTCTTACGTTAACACAGACTTTTGTCATGAAAGTTTGGCAATAAAGAATTACAGAGGCATCAGATTTTAAATCAAGGAGATTTAAAATGAAATGATGAAGCAGCATTGCCTGTGATTCAGACATTGATGTTTTGTGTCTTTCCATTTTTGGGGGGTTCAAAGTGATTTTTGTTATATTTCAAAGTGTTCTCTTTAAATACTGAAAGGAGTCAATAAACATGCTATCAGTTCTTATACAGTAGACATGTTTGGAATTGTGCACAACTCCTATGCTTTATAAGTGCTCTCAAAGTATTTTTATATTCAAGTATCTAACAAAGTAAATAGAAAATTACTATTTTCTCCATGAGTTTGATTTTCTCATATAAAGTCTGAAATAAATGTCTTAAAAAAGTGTTTTGTAGTCTTTAAAAGTTCTGTCCATTAATTTTGCTGTGATGAGAGAGAAACCTTGAGTTCCACCTTGACATCTAGTGTTCTTGCTTTATCTTTGTAATATAATCCCTGAGAAAGATCATAATAAAATTTGATAATGTGTTCAGGTCATAATTCTACATTCCAGGCCTGAATACTATCTCAAATTTGTTTTCAGACTGGGAAGGAATATGCATTCCTGTGATACTTATTTTTATAACTGAATTATCAGAACAAAATTAATGTGCATGTTTACGCTATCATTTTATGTGCCATGTTTTGACTATAGTTTGAGACTCTTATTCAAGAGGTTTGGGAATAAGGTACAATGTGGTTAAATATTTACATTAAAGACTGAAGTTGTTTAGCGACTGATTCATTTAGCTATTGTTCTCAGTTACAACAGTGATGAAAAAGTAACTTTGCAACCAGCTCTTGCATTTACCATCTTTGCAGGTCTGTAAAGCAAAGGCAAGCTGAAGTAAGATCATAAGCACAATTGTGATTTCACTTAGAGACCGCTTCACTTAATGACTGAGTTGCCAGTCCCAATTGTGGTTGTTAAACAACTGTTCAGCAATAAAGAAAGGATATCAGGATAGACAGATTTAGTTAATTTATATTACTAAGGAAAAAACCTTAATTTCAATATATTGATTCTTATTTGAAATTCATATAGTTTTGAACAGACATGCACATTAATATTTTTAATAAAACATGCTGGCTTGCAACAAACAGTCTTCATTTAATTTTACTGCTTTTAATGCTTTCTAGAAGAATAATAAGACCATAACATTTTGGGACACTATGCAGTGTGTTTTTCAGTGCTAAGTTCTAACTGCATATCCTTGTTGGTCCTCTCTGTACAGTGCACGCAAACATACAAACATGAAGCTTAAGTCTGTGATTCTTTTAACTTTGCAGAGCATCTTCCTGTCTCTAGGAAATTACAGATCCCACTATGGTGAACAAAGAAGTCTAGGTTTACTTCCATCATTCTTTGCCTGCAATATCAACTAGAACAGGCATGTTACATTGTTAGCTGACCTATAGGACCCTAAGCCTCCTTAGAGCCTTGAGAGTTGCCCACAGCAGCTCAAAAACTTTATCAGCCTGGAACTGGCACAGATAACTCCCACCCCCAATTGGGTAAAATGTAAAGAAAAATTAAAATGAAAGGACCTAAACATTGAAATAGCAAATAATGATACCTCTTTCTTTGTTGAATTGACAGGGGATATGAAGTACAGTAGTGATAGCTAAGCTGCAGGTTCTTTGCTCCATCTGAGGATTTTTGTATGTGTGCCCAAATTTTCTGGAAACCACTGAAAGTATTTAGTGTTCAAAACAGTGTTTTTCCCAGGAAAAAAAGTTTTACAAAAGTGGGACCAAAAATAAAATACTGTACTGTAGCATGGAACATTTTTAATGAGGGTTATTTTATTATTAACATTTATTTTATTAGGGTTCCAGAAGTCCTTTCATAAAAAATACTTAATTCCTCACCTTTACCTGAATGTTATGTTTCTGCCCTCTAACAGTCAGAATCTATATACACTGAGTATTCTTAGTACTTACTGGGCTGTTTGAGGTACCAAATTTTTTCCTCTAAATTTGTTTTTGTACTTTTGCAACCCCAAGCCTGTCAGTATTTTTATACTGCATAAATATATAAATATTTATAAAAAATAAATATATAAATGTACAGTATTTATGTACTGCGCAGTATCTTGTGCTGGAGAGTGCTGTGTTGGTTGCAAAAGGGTAGTTGGATAGATAATATATTTGCTATGTATGCTGTGCAAAATTCATTAAATTAAGCAAGTTATTTTCTAAATAAGAGATTATATTTGAAATTTTGGAAAAGAAATTAATTGAAAAAGCAGCAATAGGTTTTTATTGTCTATTAAGGTTACTGTAAATCTAACGTGTTCTAATTTTGAGGCTGAATAACCGTACCTTAGCACTTGGGAAAGAAACTGAAATAATGTTGCATACTTTTCTCCTATTTCACCAATACAGATTTAAGTACTGAATTTAAAATACAGGAAACTCTTTCCCTCTCTACTTCATGCAAATACCAGATTTTGTAATAGAAATATTCTCTTAAGAATTTTGTTGACAATCATATTTCTATAATATTGTTGATTTATAGAAGTGCCAACAGCAGGGCAAATACTGTAATTAAAATGCTTATTTTTTTATTTCAAAATGTCATTTGTTTGAACTGATCACAGAAAATGAGATGTTACATGAAGATTATTGCAAACTTTTTGAAAAATGCATCCAATAGATTATTTTACAATCAAGTAAAAATTAACATTAGCCTGCCAGCTGATAAAACAGCACAATGTGACATCTGAAGGGTTTTATAATATTGCTGCTTTAAAAACTACTATATTGTGCAAGTGAAAGTTCTGGAAAGAAACGTAAATTGGGGGCATTTCTTTCTAGAATGTTGACATCTCTGTCTTAACTTGAGCTGCCTGACTTCTTGCATATGGCAATCTCTGGAAGTGGATTGGCTGCCAGTGAGCTCATGGATTTATTATGCATCTTTTTCACAGTAGCAGCAATATATCACGTAGTCTCCTTCAGTTCAGTGAGATTCTACTATTCCCAAAGCTGTAGTTTGTGTGTGTGTTTTACCTGATTGTATCATGCTTTGCAGAAAACAGAGTCTCTCTTCCTTTTGCGGTGTTAATATTCTTTGTTGGTAGCGTATACTGACGTCACGAGGCAATGGCTGAGCTTGAGGCTGGTAGCTGCTGAGTTTATGTGCTAATTTCATCTTCAGCACAGCAGTAGCACCAGTAGCAAGCTATTGTCACGGAGCTAACCCTCTTTCTGGCTTACAGAGACAAGATTGCTCAACGACACATGGACGGAAACTCCCCAGAGCTACCGCGTATGCGACTAGGTGAATGAAACAGCCTCAGGAAATGGAGGAAGAATAAACTCAAATGGCTTTGGATTTGTAATGCGAGCAGCTTTTGCAGAATTTCAAGGAAATTTGCTTTCGTGCTTCTGGATTTAAAATCATGTATGTGGATTATTGTTCCTTCAACGTTTTGAGTCCACTAAAATATATTTGTGTGTCTGTTTATATGTGTGTGTACCGGTCTGTATATCTAATTTCTTTTTTAAAAAAAACATCATTTGTTTTTCCTCTTCTCCCCACCCCATTTTTTCTTTATTTTGCTTTAGTAAATGTTTAATACATTAAAATATTATTTATTTGTAGGTCTGTTCACATTGTAGCCTTTGGGAATGAAAGAGATGGATTTTCCGAGGATGATCAGAAGAGTTTGATCTGGACCTATCTTGGGAGAAGTGCTCTAGTTTCAGAGACTGATAGTAATTTGTTGCTAAACTCTGCCAACTACCTTAGAAATCCTGCATTCACCGAGTATCAAGCTTGTGTGTTTGGAAATGTCAGATTGGTGGTACATGACTGTCCTCTCTGGGTAAGAGAATGTAGTAAAAAAGTTATAGACCAATCTTAAACATGTCTGTTTAGAAGTACCTAAGTCTCAAAGTGTTCCATTAGGCTTACTTCATTGTAATCACATCTAGAATTGTAGTTCTAATCTGGGTCAACTGCTAAACTGGTATTCAGTTCTTAAAATGTTAAATTAGATAAAAAAAGAGAATGAATCTTTTATAAATGGCTCCCAGTTGAATAAAACCTGGGGTATCTGACAAGTTTAAAATATAAAGAAGCAGCATTTTTATTCCTACATTGAGACAGGTTTTTTTCATGGAATAAAACAGTTTTGAATATAGAATTATATTCTATAATCTGGTTTGACAATGTTAAATTTCAGTTAGGAATTAAACATATTGTTTAGCTTTCAGTTTAGAATATTATTTACACTGCATGAGTGTAAAATTGTAAAAATGCTCATGTACTGTTACTTTGCTTAATTAATCATGCCAAAAATAACTTTTAGTGATGTTTCTAATATTAGTATTAGAATTGCTTATAAGATTCTAGATTCATATCTTTATGTGAGATTTTGAGTGATTTATATGGAGTTGAATAATAACAGTTTAAATTTTAAACACTAGAAACAATCCCATCTCTGAAATAACTCAGAGATATATTTCTATGAACATCTATAAATATTGTCAGAAGATGTTGGAGTATAATCCTTATGAGTGAGATGCTGCTTATCTTAGTTATGTTTGATAGATAACATATTTTTAGTACGTTCCGTCCCCTGAAACATCTGATGGCTGTGGACAATATTCTTTAGGTCTTAATTTTAAATGATAAAATATTAATCTTTTACAATGTCAATAACATATTTTAAATCTGTGGCATGGAGAAGTTAAGAGAATATTGGGGTGGATGTGTAACTATTTTTGGAATACCAGGAGAGCACAGCAGAAATAATCATTATCTGCAGAGTGGACAGGAGAACTAAAAAAATAAGCTAAACAAGTGGGATAGGCAATGAGAAAGTTCTTACACTCACCACAGTATTATTTTTCACATTGTTGTCACAGACACTCTTGAGTAGTAGAATTATATAACACTATTATAACCACTGCAGTTGTCCGAGACAAACGCATTTCTTTTAGTGTGTCAGTATAGAAGTTTCACTTAGGATTAGGGTTTCCTGTCTGGAGATGTGACAGTTTTAATAACTGATTAATGCAAAAATTAGTTAAATACTTTTGCTTGAAGACACATGCTCAAAACCACTTTATCTAATTTATTCTGATAATGACATCTAGGACAAGTATAATTTCCTGGCTCTGTATTCAGCCACAATCCACCCTTCCCCTCCACCCACTCAATGAAGTATGTTGTACATGAAATATACATGAGATAACTTTGGAAAATAATATATTTAGCACTCAGGACTTTTCTAATCATGGGATGGAAGAGTAATTGCAGTGCATCTGAAGGTAACAGTCTATGCCAAGTAATTATGAAAATGTGCCCTAAGCTTATATAGTAACTTTGCATTCATATGTTTACATGCAAACATTATAGATAATTGTAGATTATTGATTTAGATAATCCTGTACTTTTTGTCTCAACTGTAATTTGACATCATTACTTACACATGTCTTATATAAGACCTCAGGAATGAACTGCATCTGAAATTAAGTAACTTTTTAAACAGATCATTATTTTGCAGCATGTTTGTAAAGTGTTCTATATAATTATAAATCAGACATCACTTGTGGTATTTACCATGTTAATTAGTACTCATAGATGGAATGTTTGCTGTTCTCTAATGGACCTCCCTACCCCCCCCCCATGATTTTTGCACATTTTGTTCTTCAAAGGCTACTGATACTCTTGTAAAAGCATGATACTGTTTTGCTTAAATAAGCTCTGAATCTCTCATATAGGAAGACATTATCTAGAAATATCTGTCACCAGCTGAGCAATATCTTGTATGTGCAAAAATCTGGAAATTTCAACACTGATGTTTCCTAATCATTTGGTTAGGTTCAGAATGTGCATTGAGAAGTGTACATACACATGCTCATGGTGTAAAACTTTTCAGAATATTCACAAAACTAGTTTATTATGTCATTTCAATTTTGCTATTCCTGCCCTCTTTTCTGTCTCCTCTGTTTTGATATTGTCCCTGCATACCTTATGTCTTGACCTTTCTTTTTGATTCCATTCCCACTCTGAGGTACTTCTCAAACCTCTGAATATTCTGAACTTAGCTTATGTTCTCTTTTTTCTGATGTTACTTAAAATATTGGATAATCTAATAGAATTTTCATATTGTGTGATTTTTGTAGTAATGCAAATTGTGATACTACAGGCTAAAAAAAAAGCAGAGCAGGGCTAAGCTTTTCATCAGCTGACAATAAGGACATTGAATTGGCCTTTCATTTCTATAGTAGTGAGCTTTACAGAATGTAACTGGAGAAACAGACTTCCATTTCTTATAAGAATAAACAACATATCATGATTCTAATTTGAACTTTATAAATATTATAAAGATTGCAATAAAAGATGGAGTAACAAACTATTCAAAAGGGTATATTGGTATTCTTACATGCTGGGAAAATGTGGGAAAATGTAAGTTAGCATATTAATTCATTGTCACAGAAAAAGTATTTCTAGCTGCTCTTGTAAAATGCTTTCTTTAGTTAGCTATTTGCTCTTCAATCATTAAAAGAAAGTTGGGACAGCTTTTTTTTTTTTTTAAAGAATACTGCATTTATTAGGATTTCAGCATTTAATTCCTAATAGCTGGTTTTACTGATCTTCAGAAATGAAGAACTAATTTAAGTAATGGCAGTTATTCATCCAGTAAATCCAGGTCAGGAATAAACTGCCAGTGAAGCAGATAACTTTCAGTTATATTGTTTTCTTAGTTTCTAGCAAGGACAAAGTTTTAGAAAGGCAAATGCTTCTGTTATCAAAATGTATTAGTGGTGTACTTATGAACTGATATTGCTGTAATTAACCAAAATGTGGTAGTTTTGATGCATGTATCTTATATATAAAATATATCAATAGTTGAATAGAAAGTTTATCTTAAAATTTAGACTGCTGGATTCAAAATCCTTTGCTGGCATTAACTTCTTTGTTAGTTTCATCTAGTTATCCTGTGTATGCAAACATAGTTATAAAATGGACATATTAATATGAAATTTGCTACAAGCAAGACATAGAAAGCAAGATTAAGTTTAAACAATACATTTAATGCCTATAAATTGATTCATTCTGGATACTTTTACACATTTTTAACACCCAAAAAACTTGTCCACAAATTTTGTATGCTCAGTTTTGGTAAACTTTCAGTTATTATATAATTTTGTGTGCTCTGATCTTCTTTTGATCAATAAAAAAGGGAATTTAGCTCCATCTTTTTGTTTTGTATAGGATATTTTTGAAAGTGACTGGTACACATCTCGGAACCTCATTGGAGAAGCAGATATCATTGTGATTAAATATTCTGTAAATGACAAGTCTTCATTTCAAGAAGTAAAAGATATTTATGCACCACTGATAAAGAAAACACTTAGTCACTGTTCAGTTCCAGTTATAATTTCTGCTGTTGGTGCAAGACAAAACGGTATGTGCTAGAAGTCATGTTATAAACAGCTGAGATATCAGTATTATGCTAAGTATTTGACGAATCATGATGAGAAAATTTGGTTATTAGACCACTCATGATAAAATTAGTACTTCTTAGAATTGATCAAGTGTCACTTAATATTCTGTCAGAAAACATTTATACTTATGTAAGATTGGTACCAGTTGAAAGAGAAAATAAACTGAGAATAACTCAGAACAGTATCATGCTATATGTTCATTATAAAACCATCTAAAAGCATGAGCAATATTCTGAATTATGAATTGAAGAATGTGATTCTTTGAACATTTGGTTGATATAACTATGAAGAGCAAAGCAGAGATCTTTCACACTGATTTTAGGTGTACTGTATTGCTTTTCCATAGAAGTCCATAACCAATCACGATTAATGATAGAAAAATGACAAAATGTGCATCTTGATGTCATGACACAAACCCTGCTGTATCGTACTTGAGTACTTTCATTATATGTAAGTCATGCGATTTGCATCATGATGTTATGGCATTTCATTTTGTCTCTTGCATCCTTCTTGTGGACACCTGTATGCTTTTCTGAACTTGTATAGGGACAGAACTAGTATGATATCTTTAGTGCTTCCTTCCTTCCTCATAACAGATGAGGCATGCTAAAGAAACACATCATTCCTAATCGTGACAAAAGTTTTTCAAAATAGTGTGTGTATAAATTGCAATTTATACACTTGCAATAAGCTACAGTGGGGCAAAAAAGTATTTAGTCAGCCACCAATTGTGCAAGTTCTCCCACTTAAAAAGATGAGAGAGGCCTGTAATTTTCATCATAAAATTGAGGTATACCTCAACTATGAGAGACAAAATGGGGAAAAAAATCCAGAAAATCACATTGTCTGATTTTTAAAGAAT